GGATTGATGAAATTGGGAGAAAACCATGTGTTGAATGAATGAATCCTTGATCGATGTATGATGTTAGGACCTTAAAATAATTGTTATAGACTGTTAAGAATGTTGTATAATCATAGGATTTTGAATTCTGAAATCGGGAATTTTTACGAAATCGAATAAGGAGGTCCGGAAGACCTCCAACCATGGAAAATTATAGAAGGAGAAGTGCTGTCAACGCAAGTTTCACAGGGCGACGGATGGCAGAAGCGATACATCAGAAATCTTCAAAACACCGTAACTTGAGTTTCAGGAGTCCGTTTAACGCACCGTTCGAAGCGTTGGAAAGATGGCGCAACGAACTATACTATGATTAAATTATATGAGTACTTTGATGCATGATTACAATACCTATGTATTTATAAGATATATTTGTTCTATGTAATTATACTACGTATATGTTGTTTTGATGATAAACATGATGATTATGATGAAATTGGTGCTAAATTGATGTTATAATGCTGAGGGATGATGTACGTGATGTTTTCTATATTGTGCTATTGTGATATTGTGAAACCACGATGTTTGGATGAGTTTTGGGGTTTTCTTTGATGTGAAATCACAAGAAGGCTGAGAATTAAACAGTGTAGGGATCACAACAGAAAATTGTCATCTGGTGTGCATCGTCGGGCAATGGAGGTGGTGTTGCCATGCGATGAAGCTTTTCTATGCTGTCGCCATACGAGTTTGGATGCGATGAAGGACAGAAAAGAAGATTGCTACTAGAGTGCTTCGCTCGCACTTTCGTTGGGCGATGCAGAAGCGATGAAGTTTCGCCGGGCGAGAAAGAGGTTTTGCGGGGCGATGATATTCAGATTTGATTGGTTGTGTCAGATGTTCTTAAAAGAGCCATAACTTGAGATTTATATCTCGGATTGAGATATCGTTCGAAGTCTAGGGTAGCTAATACAACGAACTTTAGTTAGATGGACTAAAATGAGATAAAATAAGCATTCCCCAAATTACTAAGTTAGAATGGAGTTAGGTTCCCCGTGTTGAATTACACTAATGCTTGTTGGTTATGATGTTATGATGATGTTACTATGATGTTTGTTTATTTAAGACGATATAATGATGATACCTTATATAGTATGTGGACATGATGATGAGTTGTGTGTTATGATGATGCTTAGATACTATGATGATTAGTTGATGATATGCTGCTAATGATGTTATGATGATGTTATGATGATGATGAACTATTTATCATGATGTTGTTTTACTTACGATGAAGTTATGAGGTGTTGTTGATTACTATGATGGTAATGATGTTGGTGGCCTGAATTGGCACATTGTTGAAGGCTCATGCCTTGTGGTTATTTAATTTATGTTATTGCATGTTAATATTGCATTCATATCATTGGTGAGGCTCATGCCTTGTTGTTTGGTAATTTTTGAGTTGTAGGCTTATGCCAAAGTTGTTATATGTTGATGTTGTCGTTGTTGCTGTTAATCATGTTGTCGCATACATAACATATCATGTTGGGAGCTGATGCTCGGTAAGTTGGCCTGGATTGACAAATATTAAGTTGAAGGTTTATGCCTTGTTGCTGCCTCTATTAATTGGCGAGTTATTAAGTTGGGAGTTATGCTCCATTGGTACCACATGCATGTGCATAGTAATAAGTCGCATTCCACGTTGCATATATGAGTTGTTGTGTTGATGAATTAATCGTTATATTTTGTTGATATTTTATTGTGATTGTTGTTGTTTATAAGTTGTGAAGAGGTGATTTTGCATGAACTGATTCTAATATAATGTTATCATACTTTCAATTATATTGTTTTATATCTCACCCCTTCTGTTTGACTGTTACCCCTTCGGTTGCATTACATTGCACTGTCTTGATTTGATGTCGTGTTAAATGAGTTAAGACCGTGTTTCGATGATTTATGATGAAGATGTGCATATGTTAGTATGATGTAAATGTGTGAGTATAATACTTGGTAAATGATTATGTACATATTTCGTGATTGATGATTATTTGTAACTACTATATCTTTTCCTTATATCTTTTATAATGATTGTGATTACTCACCCTTTCTGCTTGAATGTTGCCTCCACGTGGGTAATGCGCAGGTGACCGAGAATAGTTCGTAGAAGCTGAAGACAATTATGGAGTATTTATTTAGTTCCATTAAATAGAAGGTATCTTGCTTTGATATGTAACACCGGGTTGGGAAATGTTTGACTTATATATTGTGTTCCTTTTGTTGACAGAATAAAATAAGTAGTTCTAGTTCTTTTAAGTTATTGGAATATTATGATTATGGATGGTGTAAATTTGATGATGGTTTGAAAGATATTATAAATAAGGGTTAAATATGTTTTTTATCCTTATAAATATCTCAAATTTCATTTTTATTCCCTATTAAAAAAATGACAAATTTTGGTCCATAAAATCTTTTTGTTCATTCAGTTTTAGTCTCTGCTATTTTCTAAAATTTTAAAAACTATTTAATTACCCTTAAGCTTTTAAATTTTTGAATAATATTTTTCATACGTGTTTAGAATACTATAAAATATTTCTTTATCAATTTTTAGAATTTTTTAAAATGAGAAGAATTAAATATAATTTTTTTTAAAATTTCAAAAGATATTGATAAAAATAATGAAAATCTCGACTTAAAAATCAAAATTTGAATTTCTTTTTTTCCAAGGAATTTTTTATAACGTTCTAAACATGTCTACAAAATAATCATTCAAAAATACACATTGATTTAACAACAGAGATTAAAACTACATGCATAATAATTTTGTAAGGACTAAAACTTGCCATTATTTTAATAAGGACTAAAAATAAAATTTGAGATATTTATAAGGACCAAAAACATATTTAACCCTATAAATAAAGTTATGATTATGATTTCCGCTGCATAAGTGTTTTGAAGAATATATGCTGATTTTTTGAAAAGGACAAATGAGATAATTGTTGAAAGCTCGTGTTACGGAGTAAGATATTTTTGTTTAAAAAGTTTTATGAAGCATGTGACACCCTTGTTGATATTTTATTCTGATTTATTAATTAAAATATTCGCTAGATTTAAAGGGTGTTACGAATAAAGTTTGTGAAATTGCAACACGTGTTATTGTTAGTGTTAAAAAATCTCACACAAAAGTTAACAGTATGAGATCCGTTCCATGCATAAAATATATGGGTGAATCTAATTAGTGTCCTGAGAGCACTTTTTAAAGATATTAAATAATTTTTTTAAAAAAAATCAATTATTTCTACTTTCAATGTATTAATTATATATATTTTTAAAAAATCTTACTATTTTAAACACTTAAAGAGTGTCCTTAATACATTTAAAACACTAGTTAACATTTCTCAAAATATATTAGTCTAAACAGTAAAATTGTCTCTATAGCTAGTTTTTTATTTTTGTTCTTACATTTTTTTAAATAATTCTAAATGTGTCGAAATCTTTTAGGTATTTCATTCTAAAGTTAAAATTTGTTGAAAAATCCTTAGATTTTTTTTGTAGATCTTAACTTTAGAGATTATTTATAAAAATACAATTTATTTGGATGATTTACCTATTTAAACGTTTAATAAGGGATTACTTTGTTTTTTTTTCTTGGATGAACCATGGAATCTTTGCTCCTTTAAATTGTGAATATTGATAGCATACTTGTTATTACCAAGCTTATGTATTAGGTTGGATTTTTGTTCTTGCTGTTAGAATAGAGGTACCGTCGTGATTATTGAGATTGAGTGTTTGACTAATTTAAGGAGAAGGTCGTTGGAGTTCTAAGAGCGAGATCATGTATTCTTGAAGGTCACTTTGAAGTTAGGGCTAAAGGGAATGTTCAAGACAAGAAAGTTGAGTTAGAGGTATATTAAACCGTATCAAATCATAAGTCGGGTAGCAGAAGTGACTTACTAGTTAACTTTTGTACCTTCACTATCTAGACTTCATTACATGTTTTATGTGTCATAACTTAGGAAATTTGTTCCAGATTCCTTTCAACCTTTCCTTTCGGATAATATGGCTGGAGTCAAAGTTGATCTTTCTTTTCAACCTCAACCTAAATGTATTGTGGATTACGTGATCAAGGTGTTAAGGAAGAAAGAGATACCCCTTTTGTGAAAGTGTTATGGAAAGATTCGCATCAGGGCGAAACCACATAGGAGCTAGAGTTGGAGATGTGAGATTTGTATCCTCATTTATTTAGGTAAATTTATAAATTTGAGGACAAATTTTAGTTTAAGAGGGATGATGTAACACCCTCATTCTTTAGCCATGTTCTAAACTCTTAATGAGTAAATGTCATTAGTATAAGTTAGGATTAGTAAATCCTAATTCCTTCGATTAATAAGAAATGTCATGTTTAGAAAATTGTTTTATATTGCAAGGGAAACATGGTTCTTTTGGGAGCTCATTATAAAAGCCCAATTGGAATGAAGGTCTTGAGTTCATCCACCATGATTGTTAATTTCATGTAAAAAGTGTTAGGAAAATAAGTGAATGGAGAACTTTCTTGTTGTATGATCCTTGATGGAATATATACCTTGTAATCGGCATTTGACTATATTTTCGTGTGTGAAGTATGTTGAATTGCTCCGGGCTGGATTTTGGACATATCCATTCGTTCTAAGTTTAACCCTAGTTTGATGAAATATCTATTCCCTCCACTATACTTAAGTGGTTGGATTGAGGTTAAAATAACCAAAAACACTCGATATTCACTTGAAATGAGTGAAAGGGATCACTAAGAAAAAGAAATGTTTGAAAAAGGAAATTGGTTGATTGTTATCGAAATCAAAAGTAAAACTCCCTTAGGTTAATTAATTATAAAAGATTAATAAGTGATCCCCTCTCTCTCTTTGAATTGGAACATTAAGTTTGTCAAACTTTTGCTAGTATTGTAATAGATTATTACATAATTCTCATTTATTATGCTCAATTGTTGTGACTTATGAGTGGTTATTCATTTGAGCTTGTTAAAGGACACATTATCATGACTGAATAAGATGTTGAACATTCATTGGGTATACGAAGTCTGGATTTGAGGAATTGTATGAACGCAATGCCGTAAGTTTATTCGCAGCTGAAGTCGGATGAAATCCATCCCAAAACATATATTCGTTTCTATTCTCACACGGAGTTTGTTGAAGAGCACACAACGAATTCAATACCAATCGACAGCAAGCAGCATTCGAAACTCTAAAACCTGAAATAAATACAAGGATCAAGAATCATGTATAGGGTTTAGGATTTACGGTTTAGGGTTTAGCATCAAAATAGAATATGAATTGAGATATAAGAAATTAAGGGAAATATTTACGTTTTATACTAGCATAGAAATCTGTTGTACTGTTTCTAAAGATGAATTTAGAACCAGTGAATTTCCTGTTGAGTCTATCCACAAGAGATTTAAGTTTGCTACTAAAAATTAATGCAGCAGCATTCTGCTCTTGAATACATGATCCATGAGTAGCAATGGCATTTGGAGTGCAACCTATAGGTCCTGGCCCAACTATCACCATTTTTCTTGCACCAGCATTATGTAAAATCTGCAATTCAACCAAGAGTTATAAACTAAAATCTTTAACTAATTTCTATAGTGAATGTTTTTTAAATTGTAACATAATTAAATACCTTTATAGATTGAGATAATCGGCCGATAAGATCTTGAGCATACTGATTAGGGCTATAGACGCGACTAGTTGAATAGAATTGAGGAAGAAAATAATTATTTATATAATCGTTGCTGCCTATATTTACATAATACAAGCACTCATTTAGATATTGCGAAGCTTGTTGAGCACCACCAAGCATAATTGCAAATCGAGCAATTATGGTTTTGTGATTTTGTAACTGAAATCCCAAGTCAATATCAGCACCCTGCATTGCGCATAAGAAATGTTTTAGGAGAATTCAATTCAATAATATTCATTGAAATATCTATCATCTCTAAATATTAATGTAGAAAAAAAAAATCAACTGCATAGTCATGTTTAACGATTAGACTTCTATTAAAAAGGTAGAGTTTATTCAATTTAATTTATACCAAATGTTTTCCGGTCTCGTTGCGAATTCCAGCCGATCCAGATGCATAGTTAACACCTTTCAATATATTTGAGCCCATGGTATTTGCAAAGGGAGGAATGAAATCTTCAAATCCTAAAAGTTGAGCTGCAAATAAAAAATAATAATATTAATTGTTCATGTAAGTGCATCTCTTAAGGTAAATAAAAAGAAAATCCAAGAATGTTACCAAGTATGTCAATTGATGTTAGTCCATTAGAAAACCTTCCTGTTGGTCCTGTTGGAAAGTCGATGCCATATGGTTTGTAATTAACTTTTGAAAGTGTAACAAGATTATTGTTGTTTCCACTATCAGATAAAGAGTCACCAAAAATAAAAAGACATGGCATTTGAGATTTTCCATAGACACATTGTTGCATGTAGCATGCAGCCACGAAAAGAAGAGGAAAAATCAACAACGTATTAGTCTCACAAGCCATTTAATTTATTTATGAATACAAAAGCTATATGTAATCTATAGTAATAACTAAAATAATATAGGAAAATGATATGAATATAAATTAAACATAAGATGGAATGAATGTGTATATATAGGGTTTTTGGAATAAATATTAGAGAAAAAAAGAAATGTACTGTTTTTACATTATCATGTATCATATTAATAAAATATATTTTTGTTTTTAAAATATTAAAATGATATGACAAATATAAATTTTTTGATTGATTATATCTATAAAATTGTTTTATATGGACTGTCTTTAAACTCTAAATATTAATAAATGGATAGTATTTTATAAATTTTTTTTGAGAAATAGAAATCTATATCTATATCTATATACTATTTGGTCAGAAAAATAATTATTGAAAATATAATTGTATTTTAAGGTTCATTTTTAATGATATGTAGATTTATGAAAGTCTCTTTTTTTTTAGCACCCATGATAATAATCTCTCATACCTTAGTGGCTCTTTCTTTAATGTTACTGTAAATTAATTATTTGTGTAACACCTTTTATTGAAATGTAAAACGTATTGCGGTTTCTTTTTTATGTATTATAAATTAATTTTGTGTAACACCTCTTACCATAAATGTAATTTTGTGTAACACCTCATTAAAAGATATACGTAAATTCTGTCAAATATGTTGGCCGAAGAGTATTTATCATTTTAAATATAACATGTTATAAATTTATAGCAAGTTGTTTTGTATTGATTGATTTTTTACGTAATCAATTTGTATCTTTTTAAGCAAAGTCGTCCATTTATACTTAACAAATTACTTTTTTAATAAAGTTTAACAATTGCAGAAGTTATAATTTACTTCTAAACATTTCATTGCAATAGTTACATTCCTTAATCTCCAATAGTTACTGATCTAACCTGATCAGACTTGAACCGTCACGGCTGACTCCGAGCTGAAGTTTTGAACGAGATGGGGGTACCTGCAAGGCACTCCGATGCTGAAGTAAGTAAGACTACGAGCAGACAAAAGTGTGTGTATGGTCAAAGAAGGAATACCTGACCCTCTGGGAACAGAGGGTATTTATAGCCCCCAGCGCTGGGCCAAGGTCCCTTCATTGGGCCGGACAGGTTTGGCCCAATGGAGGAACTTCCAGGTTCTACGTGTGTAGTGGGGACCCGCACGTGGTCTCCTTCCTGGATGTTCGGCGTGAAGTACGGACGGACGAGGACGCGGTCTTTTCGGGATCCACGTGATGGTGTAGTGGACAGAGTCTGCCCTAGGAGGAGTGCTCGAGCTGGGGTCGAGCAGGGTAGCATGAAGTCGAGGACGTCGCACTAGCAGAGAATGTCGGGCACGGATGTGGCCTCTTGGTCGGCGTGACCCCTTGCAAGACCGTTTGGGTTGGGCCTTCACCGTTGCTTTTGGGCCAGCTCGGCCCAGTCCAGAACAGGAGCCCCCCAAGTTGTGGTTCCTGAAGTAGGAGCCATGGCTTGATCTTAGATCGCCTCCGTCGCAGGGTCCCGCATCCGGGCAAGGGATGTAGTTCCCCGTGGTAACTCGAGGAGTTCCCCTCTCGTACCGTGTCCGCGAGGTAATTCCCTTCGAGGAGTGCTCGAGGGATTCTCGACGGCTGCGTTTGTTGAGCACACGAGGTATCTCTTGGGAGTTGTGCTGCCACCCTATTGTAGGTAGGGTCATCATTGCCTAGGGGGGCTGTGCGTCGAGGAGGGAAGTCTGTGGTTTCCCGGGGTGACGTTTGGTATTCCACATCATCACTATAAATAGGATCCTTGGGCCCCAGAACGTGTTTTCCCTCTTCGCGCTTCTCTTTTTTCCTCCGTTTCTGCTGTTGCTGTTCTTCCCAGATACTCATAGGACCGCCATGATCTCCGTCGCTGATTCCCTTTCTCCGCCGTCACACTTTCTTCTTGATTCCAAGTAATTGTCTTGTCTCCTTTGTTTTTCCTCTGTGATGCATGATTTTTCATTGTTTTTAGACGCCTAGAGACTGTACGCCTGGGATTAGCCCTGGTAGATTTTTGTTTAGCTCGGCAAATCCATGTTTATGCCCGGCGAACGCATGTATGCGCCCGGTAAACGCATAGTTTAGGTATTTGACTCGCAGTGCTGCCCGGGATCTTCATGATTCAGGGCGCCTGATTCTTGGTAGTGTCCGGTAAACTCATGGCTCTAGTTTTGAGACTCATGATATTGCTCGACACGTTCATGGCTTAGGTCGACATATTCGTGAGTGGTCGAGATGTTGGCCCATTTAGGCGATCTGTAGGGAGGCTTTGTCGTGGTATCTGGGAGTCGGGGAGGTGACTTCTCTTTTTGTTTCGAGACACCAACTTCTTTTAGTCGCGCGTGGAGTGATATGGCCTGTCGCGCTCTTCATCCCGTCCGTTATGGCGAGCGCGTGGATTTGCTCCCCAATTGACCGGTTTCCTGTGCTTTGTAGGTAACCATGACCGACGAACTGTGTTCCTCGGGGCGCACTGAGGTGGAAGACCAAAGTGCCGAGGAGAATGTAAATTTGGTCGATACCATCGACGACCCTTTGCTGGAATGGGTGGGCGCCGAGCCCAGAGGGATTGCTTCGGCATATAGCCGATGTAGTCGAAGTGCGTTCACCATCATCGAACAGGGCGGTAGTCAGCCCGATTTTTAGAAGAATTTTGTCGTCAGTAGGCCGACTCTTACTGCCCGAATTTGCTCGGAGTTCCCCGAGTATGGGTTCCCGATGTACGAGATTGCTTTCAAGGACTTGGGGTTAAAGCTCCCCTTCAGTGACTTTCAGGTCGGGGTTTTCAGCCATCTGAAGCTGGCCCCATCGCAGCTTCACCAAAACTCGCTGGCTTTCATCCGGGCGTTCGAGCTGACGTGTCGGTTTCTAAGGATTGGGGCGACCATACCCCTTTTCTTTAGAGTCTTCCACTTACAGCGCCAGTCCCGGGGAGGTAGGCATAGCTGGGTTTCCCTGAAGCAGTCGAAGAGACTATTCAGGATGTACATGGATTATGTGCGGGGCTTCAAGGACAAGTGGTACATTGTGAGGCCGGTTACCACAACAGGTTTAGAGTCCGTGTATGAGGAAGAGACGGTCGTGACCGACGACCACGGGGAGGCCCTCCTAGACGACGAGGGACACCCGGTGTTGGGGCGCGTGGCCAAATTTCACTTGCATTAGACCTCGAGGCACTACGAGCATGGCACCGGGTACTACCACACGTCCGCGGGCGAGATGAGCCCCGAAGACGAGAAGGCTTATGATACTCTCTGTCGGTATGTTGACAGTTTCTTCCCCGCCAGGTGGGCCACGAGGGAGGGGAAGGATATTCTTGACGAGGAAGGTTATCCGACCTTCGAGGCCCGACCGATCGACACGAAGGCGCTTGTGGAGTGCCAGTCCTTCGGGCAGGCCGCGAACCTGCTAGGTCGTTATTGTTTTGTGTTGTTTGAATTTCTTCACTTGTTACTTGTTCGCCACTAACCCGAGGTTATTTTATGCAGGTCTCATGGCTGGTCGAAAGGAGAGGCTCCTGAAGCTGACACAGGATAAGAAGGTTAACAAGAGGTTGGTGCGAGCTCCTCAGGTGACAAGGATGGGCCCGCTATCTAGCCCGAGCGCTTCTCAGGCGACGAGGGTGGACTCGCCACCTAGCTCGGGAGCTGCTTCGGGAGGGATCCCGGACTCCCAGGATGTCGAGCCACACACCGATCTGATACCGAGGAAGAGGAATCGGGTGGAAAGCCAACTGGAGGTCGGCGAGGACTCCAGCGCTGTGAGGTCCTTCGGGTTGCCCCTTGCTTTAAAGAGGGGGGTTTCTTCGAGGGATTTCCCTTGTCCGTGAGTGCTGATGAATCCGAAACTATCAGGCGGATGAGCAAGGAAATTCGGAGAAGGCACCTGGCCGCCAATATGGCCAGACTGGTCAAGATGGCCGAGATGGTTGTTGTGCTGGCCGAGGAGGGGGAGGACTCTGACCGTATCAAAGAGCTGGAACAGGAGAAAGCTGCCCTCGCCTCGGGTTCGTGAAAGTTGAAGGCTGCTCTGGAGCGCTCCGAGGAGATGTTCCGCGAGCAAGCCGAGCTGCTGGCGGCGGAGACAGAGTTGCTGGCTCTGGAGAAAGAGAACTCGGGGAAGCTGGCCGAGGAGAGGGACTATTTCCGTGAGGACCGGGAACGTCTGGAAATTGACAACGGGCGCCTCGCCAGAGAGGTCGAGGAATTAAAGGCCGCCATGCTCCCTGCCGAGGATGAGTCAGAGGAGACGGCTCCTTTGCGGAGTCGGTCGGAACTAGTCGCTCGTATTCAACTCCTCGAGGTGGATTGTGTCGGCGCTATGGCGGATGGCTTTGAAGCCGCGGTCAGCCAGCTTTCTCTGTTGAATCCTGGTCTGAACACTGAAGGAGTGGGCTACATGTCCCAGATCATTGATGGTCAGGTCGTGCCTCCGCCCGAGTCTCCTGTTGTCAGTGGTGATAGCTCCGGGAAAGCTGAGTTGTGAGATTCTGATAGGGCCTGCGCGCCTTTGTTGATGTTTGTTTTGGGCCTGCGTGCCCGTTCATATTTTTTGGGCCTGCGCGCCCGTTCTTTGTATTTCATGAACATCGCCGGCCTTCTTGGTCGGTTTATATCTATTTGCTTTGTTGCCTTCGGGCATTTTGAATGAATGTTTGTTTCAATTTTTAATTGTTTGCCCGTGCTTGTGTTTTACGTTTTCGCGCAAAAATTGGCCTAAGTTACGGGCCCGAGTCTTGCCCGTACGTGGTTGTGACTTTGTTGGCAAATTTGCCTAAGTCTTTTGTTCGTGCATGTGCTCGGCTTTCTATTCGGTTGTCGAATTCGCCCAAGTGCTGACCTCGAGGAGAGATTTCTTTCTCAACCCTTTTGGATGGCCCGACTTTCTTCGAGATTCGTCGGGCGTGCGGAGCAAAGCCTCTTGTTCGGGTACATGACCCGGATCAGGGTTATTCACCCGCGGCGTGAACTGCCCATCGCGAGCTGGGTGTT